AATATATTGGGTATGTATAATTACCAAAATTATAGCTTTGATGTTGGAGCGTTCGATTCGGTACTCGGATTCTTCTGACCCCATGAAGCCCAGCATGACATCAACAAAGTCCTTAGTTCTTTCTTGATCTTTAGATTGAATATGTTCATCAATGATCTTCTCAAAAAATGCATCAAACACCTTGCTAACACCCTTCATGCGCTTAGTTAGCCCCTGGAGGTCAAGTGGAGCAATAAAAGGAATGAAATCACCAAAGTTTGGGGTGGCTGCTAAATGCATGCCCTCTTGGATCACAGCCTTGAAACCCCTCTCGTCAAATTCTTTATCCATGTACTTCTTCCCAAACACCATCAGGCAGCTCATGTCGGCAGTGAGAGACGCAACCTTGCCACTGAGATCAACAGTAACACGATCACAAGCAGCCTCTTGAATAAACTTAGTCAAGATGGAAAGCTCTTCTTTCCTCATGGGCTTGAAAGAATTGATTTTGTGGCTGCTAAGCAACTCTAGGGTGCACATCTTACGCATGGTTCGCCAATAAGAGCCATATGCACCGAAGGACAAATTCCTTTGCCCATAGGAAATATGTTCAGCAGCTTGAAGAGGTGGCCTACTTGCAAAAACAAGGTCATGTGTTTTGAGAAACAGCTCAGCAGCCTGAGGGGATGAGGCAACAACAACAGGAGCAAGGCCTAAGCGCAGATACATGATGTCACCATGCTTTTGGGCTAGTCGATGCAGATCCCGGTGAGGGAACTCCCCTAACATGTGCAGGTTTCCGAAAAGTGGAAACCCTCTTGGACCAGGAGGCAATCTCTTCTTCTCGTTTTTGCTTTTGGACAGCCATGCTTGCAGTACATAAACAAGAGCAAGCAACCCAAGTATTGCCCCAACCCAATCCATGGCTAACTCTACTACACAGCTATAAGGTTGGTGATTGAGCTTGTTGGTTGTGCTTAAGTGGTTGAGTAGGTTAAGTGCTAGACTGTACTGGTTTAATATTGCACTGCAAATATTTATAGGAGCACTTTGATCTCACGATTAGTTACAATATCAATGACTTGAA